GCAAGGGGGGGGGGGGCTCCAGAATATTATTCACCTAGAACCGGCTACACCCTTATTTCTTAATTCATGTTTAATGAGGGTTGCGATTATAATACAAATAGAGAGTAGTAGACAGATCTTAGTAAGATGACTGAAGAAGATCATCTTACTAAAAATAATAAAAATAATAATAATAATGAACTATCGTATATTCGTCTTTCACTTGCACGATAAAATGTAGGTATAAAAATATACATTATTTAAGTTTAAACCCCTAAAGCTTAGGTAAAAAATTATGTTTAATTAATAAGACTTGCGTTAATATAAGCCTGGATTGACCACATCAATGTCATACTGTAATTTAACTTCGTTTATTTGCCAAGTGTTAAGCTATTATTAAAGATGCCTCCGAATGAGCGTAATGGATTGCTAATAATATGTATTATATATTTATTATTCAATAACGTTACCTACTATTTATAAAACTCACGGGTTTCTATCGATTAAATGCTGACCAAATATGTCTTAATAAATTGTTATTGTCGATGTGTATCAAGTGTAATAATATGACATATTAAGCCTGTCAGTTGTAAGAATGTTGACATGGCCGAAACGTTAAAAATATTTCTATCAATTTAAATGTTTGAAGATTGCTAGTTAAATCGATAAACAAAATTTCTTTTTTTTTTGAACGCGGTGCATATTTTTTTTATAGAAAGTGTATATCATCGTGTTTGATTAAAGCTTTTTATAAGTTTCATACAATTATATCTACAATCTACTTATCACAACGTGTTAAAGTGCTTTCCGTATTAATTAAAATGTATTCATAGCACTTTGTAAAGCAAATATAAAAAAAAACTTCTAAATGAAATTTACTCAATCGTGTATGCTTGAAATTTTAATTAGGATATCTGATAATTTATTTTATTTTAAAGTATAAAGATTATTTTTCTTCTAATTTTTAAATATAAGATAAATATAATAATTAGTAAATTTATCCTATTATCTCTCATTTATGAACTTCATCGTTAATTTAATGTACAATTAAGTTAAAAATTATATTTCAAATTCTTTACTGTATTGTTATAATAATTAACATTTAAAGTTTTGGTATAGTTTAAGTTTAACTCATACGTTGTGTAATCCTTCACAATTTGCATTTATATACATCTCATTAATTAATATTTATTATATCCCTATTCAAACACGGTGAACTTATAGGTACCAATGCATAATAATTCATAACAAATTATGTCTGAAGTATTATGATATGCATAACTATAATAACGTTACTAAGTTTAATATTAAATGACAATTATCACAATGAGATATATACTTAAATGTATATATTTAAACTTTAAATATTCGTTTTTATTTTGCATACAAGCAAGTGGTTCAAAAACTAAATAAATATGTTTGATATTATGATGCATTCATAAAATAACACTAACATGACACTTTGTTTTTTAAGTCGATAAAATATAATAAGCTGGAAAACGAATCTGGAATTAATGTAATTGAAATTTGAATCCATCAAATACGGAACACGTAAGAACATCGTTTTGCTATTATGGACAGACCCTTTGGGTTTTTTACTGTTTATAAAATTATACTACTTCCATTGAAAGTGTCTTCATGAAAAATGTATGTTTTGATCACTGTAAATCAACAATACAATACATTCTAAGGAAAAATAGTGTCAAGAATATAGTTTACTATTTGAAAACCAAAAGTCAATACTACGAATGTTTATAAAGGGAAAATAAATAATAATTTGGAAATATGCACGTTAGTTCTTCGAAAACATGCGTTATTCAAATGTACCCTTAAATTAATAAATTCGAAAAAAAACTATTGTTGAAGTGTTACCTTTATTGTATATTCAATGGTTTTATTGATTATTAATCATTTAATTTTTTTTTATAGGCATAAAATTGTAACAGCTTTTGTTTCGCCTATATTTTATAATCGCTGAATCGTTTATGTGTCGATAAATGGACTAGTACTAACTTCTACTAATCTCTAGTGACTTACTGTGATTTTTTCTTGGGTGACTGTTCTTCGCTTTTACTTGTCGCGTCTAACTGAGCGTTAGATAATAAAAACAATGGTAGGTTAAGCCAGAGCGACGCTCCTAGTTCAGATATGTCAGATGTGTCGGAGGCTCTCGACGATTTTCTGGACGAAGCTCTAGAATTACTACCGATACCTCCTCCGATACCACTGATTGACATGCCTTTAACATGTAGGAACGACGAAAGACGTGACTGCCAACCTCCGGGACTTGAAGACTGAGTATCCGAACATAAGTCCGTTAAGTCTTTTTTCCGCCTAAACAATTTTTTTTTGTTTAATACAAAAAAAAAAAAAATAGATAGTTAGTCTAACAATATAAAACAAAAACAATACAAAATACTTCGAGGACGTCAATTTAGAATTTAAAGAAAATATGGTATCTAAGTTCAAAAATAAAAGACAAGTATAATACAATACAGAAACGTTAATGATAATTATGCCCAGATTAAAACGTGCAGTAATGAAGATTACAAGTGTACTACACAATTGAACTCAAGATATTTTAAAGTTGTCTCATAGAAATAGAATAACAAGTTTATTTAATGAAAAATTAAGCTATACATATATATATATAATAGAATTATAAAAAATGTAGTATAATGATGAACGGGATGCAGATATAAAAGGCAAATAAAGACAAGAAAAGGTATAAATTGGGTTAATATTAAAACTACGATTTGGAAAAGTGTTCAAAGTAGATAACGTTGATGGATTGTTATTTTATCCAAGTTACTCAAAACAAATACAATACCTTCGGAAGTTTCGGTAACTTCTTTGTATTAGTCTTGCGGCTTTATCTTGGCGTTTCCACAGACGCGTGGATGACACGATTTCTAGTTCCTTACGTGTTGGAAATTGTTTTTTAAACTTCACATCCATTTGATCTCGTAGCTGAGCACGAATATTAAAATTTAATATTATCATTAAATATTGTATTTCATTATTTGTATATATAATGTAATAAAAGTTCAAAGATTATTGGTTACTTTTTTGAATTCGTCTGTTTCGTCGACATGACCAAGCACGTGTTTGACGAGTGCATGGAGTATATCCAAGCAATGTATCTTGTTGCCTCTCGCAATTGGCAAATTGAAACTGACCAAGGCCACGATATTTGGCTTAGGTATGCCCAATGGCGGGTCCAAACTTGCAATGAAATCTGATATTTGATTGAACGCTATGAACTGCGTTGCATGTGGGTCGTATCTGAAATAGAAAAGCGACGTTTAGAATAATGCATGAAAAATCCGTTGAGACATTCCAGTTACTTAGACCATCGGATGTAAAACATTTCGAGATCGTCCTCTACAATGCCGATTTCTTCTTCCTGGTGAGCTTGGTTAAAGTTTTCTAATATAATAGCTATGTACATATTTATTACGATCATGTAGCTTATTATGATGAAACTCGTAAAGTATGTAATCGCGAGAATAGGATGTCCGCAATTGCCGTTCGGAAGTCCTGGAGATTCAAGTTCACAATCCGGTGGTTGTACCATTAGTGATTCAAGTACGTCATTCCAACCGGCCGATGTCATCAGCCTATATAATAAACAAATGTGGTTTGAAATAACATTATGAAATTTCAAGTAAATACAATTTTAAGTACTAACCGGAACAGCAGTTGCATACTTCTACCAAAAGTCTCAAAGTTTACCATGTCATTAATTGCTTTTTGTTTTTTGACATGCCCGAAAACAGACATACCGATTATGGCGTATATGAAAGTAATCAGACCAAGTAGTGCGCCAATATTGAAAAGTGCCGGTAAAGAAACTATTAAGGCAAATAACAGTTTCCGTATACCTTTGGCGGCCTAAAATCCAAATAATTAAATAATTAATTTAAGTAACTACCAATTACCCACACAATTTCAGAGATTGTCTAAAATAAAATTGTATTATTAATGTTTAGTAGTAGGAAACTAGTAATTTAATTATAATCTCACCTTAATCAATCGTAATATTCTACCAATCCTGAACACGCGAACTACTCTTAAAAGTGTTGGTGACACTGGAAAATCGATCATAATATCTTCCATAAGTATACCAAGAACGGATGCTAAGACGAGCAAAAAATCAAAAACATTCCAAGGAACAGTAAAATAATGAAATCGAAGACCAATAATTTTCACTAAAGCCTCTGTGAAAAAAAATATAAATATTGAAATAAACACTTTATTAATGATTTAAAAAGAATTTTTGTAAAAAGAAAATTACCTAATCCAAAAACGGTAGTAAAAAATGCGTTACAGACTTCTAATATGAAAAACACCGGATCAGGCTGATTGTAATGTTCAATACCCATTGTCAGCATGTTTAAAAAAATCAATACGAAAATTGCTATCTCAAACCTACGAAATAATGTTTACGTTTTAATCATTGGACATTTTGAAGTATAAATAATAAGTAAATAAAATACCTTCGTGAATTTGATAAGTCGTAAAATATTGCCATAAATTGATTGACTGGTCGCTTAATTACTTTTTGTGGCTTTTTCCGGCCTAGTTTTTTCATGGCTGTGTAATAATGCTTTTGACTTTCAGTCAAGAACATTTCTAATACTCCGCCTTCGTACTGCAACAGATAGTTCATTAACATACAAATGATGTAACCTCATTAAAAATAATGGTATACCTTTTTTTTAAGCATGTTAAAGTTATCAATTATAACACCGATGAAAAGGTTTAGAGTGAAAAATGCTCCACATACAATAAATATCACAAAATATATGTAAGCATATAAGTTTGCCTCGTATTCAGGTTGTAAGTCTACACCACGAGCGTCAACAGCATCTGCCATTACTTCCATCCAACCTTCGAATGTTGCCTGAAAATGTAATGTTAAAAAATATAGTATTAAAAATATAAATATCATTAATTCGATAACAGTGTAGCATGGTACAAGTTTTCAAAAATAAAAATAAATACCACGAATAAACTTACAACTTGAAATAAAGCCAAATAAGCTATGCCCACGTTATCAAATGATATTTTTGAGTTTAACCAAGTATAGTTATGGAGCATGCAGTCACTTCGATTATTGACAATCTACAAAATGTATTATATAGTTTTTATTTAACACGAATAAAAAAAACAACAAAAACATATCAAATACATACGTTTACGGATAAACGGTCTCCGTTGTCGTCAACACACTTAAAAAATTTTCCACCAAAAAACTGCACACCCATGATTGAGAATATCAACCAAAACACAAGACAAACCAGCAGAACGTTAAAAATTGATGGAATTGCATACATCAGAGCATTCACAACTATCTAGTAATATATAAAATAAGCGCATATTATATTACATTCAACGTAAAAGTATTTTTTGGACTTCGTAGTACTTACTCGCATCCCTTGCCATCTTGATATAGCCCGGAGTGGTCGCAAGGCTCGGAGAGTTCTTAACGACCGCAGAACTTTTAAATTCTCATTTTCATCAATTAGTAAACTAAAAATTGACATCTGTTTCGAAATAATAACCCAAAAGATTTTAATCTGTTATAATATCAAACATTTTTTTTTTATATTACCATTGCAATAATGAAGTCTAAAGCTGTCCAAAAACTTTTAAAGTATTTATACACCCCCAATGCTATCCATTTTAGCATAAGTTCAATTGTGAAAATAACGCAAAACGTAAAATTAGTCCAATATAAAGCAGTTTTAAGCGTTTTGTTTTCGTCTAGGTAAATATCTTCGAAGCATAAAGTAACACTTGATGCAAAAATCAACACTAGTATAAACCATTCAAATATCGGAGTATCTACTACCACGAGAGTTTTCTGCCGAAAAGTCATCCATCGGTCGCCAAAACAATTATCAACCCACTCTTTTTTTATTCCAATCCTACAAATTAAAGATAATTAATAATTAAAAAAATGTTAATCAATTAAATTCAAATCGATTTTATTATTTAAATTATTCATAATTAATGTACTTTTAAGTATAAAAAACAAATAATTTAATTATTAAAATTATAATTTATACATATTTATGTATTTCTAAGTATAAAAATATAATATAATTATTTTGATGGTTTATATGATTTGTTTTAAGAGGAATATGATCAAAAAATATTTTTAATTATGTACCTACTAATATATAAAAAAAAGAAACATAATGTTTCATACAAATACAATTAAGTTTATTGAAATTTATTAGTTTAATGCAAAACAAATGCGTTATTTACCTTTGGTAGCAACTAAAAGGAAAACATTCTAGTGGCGCCTTTGATTGTTTATTTCTGCCAAACCCTGGAAAACTGGGAGCTGCATCAACGAAATTTCCTTGGGAGTCTCTTCTTCCTCCCACTGTTAATTCGTCCACATAAGACACAAGTGTTATCCAAGGTTTCTTTTTAGACTTTTCATCAATTACTATATCCTTTTTTTTTTGTTTCAAGAAACACGTTTCGTCTTGATCGTCAATTTCATCTGAACCAAAATAAAATATACAGCTTAATATCTAAAACAATAAATCTATAGAAGAAAATAGAATTAATTTTCTTAACTTATTTATCATAACCATATATTCTTCACACATCTCATAAAAATGTTATAGAATTGTAAACTTTAAATATTAATACTTATAAAGTTATTTATTTTAAATTTAAGTGATTTATTTTTTTGTAAAACGTATGAACCAACACTCCAAGTTTAATACTCTAACTTTGGTGCAAGTTATGAACTTCTAGAATAAAATGTATAAATAAGAACCATCAATCAATAATAAAATATAATAATGATTAATGATGGTATACTAATATCATATTATTTTAGTCTACGTTAGACAGTTTTAATTTGCAAGGAACATTTTTAGTTTAAATGACTCAATATTAAACAAGGTTGATTATCATTAGTAATTATATCTTGATACTCATTCAACGTGTTCGATACAAAACGTATTTTATACTTATTGAATATACCATATATCCACTGTATTCTTTTAATTTATAAAAACAACCATTTTACACACTCTTAATTTGAAAATAGTGTGTCCCACTGTCCCTATGTTAATTTTATTTTGGTTTTTTTTTTTTTTTATATTTTCCATGAAAATGTTGTTCATATCAACAACAATAAACTATTAACAAATCAAAATGTAATCGTTTGAAAAAAAAGCATTAATTTTACCTTTACTGCTGTCTTGCCTGGTGGCCAATATGTATGATCTTCGATGTATACCTGCGGGTGGTGGACTAGTGTGGTAATGTTCAGATAGCTCAAATGTTTCATCTAACATTGGTAATTCTAAGTCCCTCGTTAATGTAGGCGCATAACACATTGCGTCCTGCATGATTTGATGGTATAATAAATCATTAGATGTTGATTCCTGGCAACCAAATACAGTCGTTTGTTGAGTTGTGAGTGGACCTTGGTTATATCCTGTAAATAAAACTAAGTTAAATTAAATGCAATTATTTTAATTTATATATACTAGGTATTATTATATTATGTATAGTGTGTCCAAATATATTAACAATTTTCACAAGATTTTTCAGACGAGTGTTAGGAAATCAAAATTTAAAGTTACAAAAATGATGCAGGGAAGTGTATAGGAAATCCCATACAAATATGGTAATGCAGATTAACATATTTTTACCACTTTAAATATTAGTAGCACACCCTATACCTGTAGTACGTTTAATGAATTTTAAAGTTATTGTGACATTAAGTCTGCCCAACTTGTATACAATTTAATTAATAATTAATTGGTAATTTCTAAAACATAGCCAGCATGCTAAGAAAATTACTCGTTTGTATGGATGAAATTGTAATATATTATACTATACATGATTTTATACTATAAACTTATAAGCTATAATTATTATTGAAATGTTGTGTATAAAAATGTCGGTGTTGTGTAGCTAATTTATTCAATGAATGTTATTAGTTATTACTTATTACATGATATATTATTTGTGTATCTGAAAATATAAATTAAGTAATAACAAGAATACTTTATCGGTGATATTTAAAATAAATTAAGACACTCGTAAATGGAAAGATGGTTTAGAGTGTTAGGAACAGCTTGTCAGTGGATATAATATTTTGAGTATTGTAGATATTAAAGCATCGTAAGTAAATACCTTATTACAATTTACACACACTAGTTAATACTATTAGACAGGACAAAAACTGACAGGCGAATCGCTGATTTATAGTTTACAAAAATAGGTTGCGAAGCGACGGCGACGACGTGATAACTGTCGAACCAATACGCGGGTCTTCTGACATAATTAAAGCGAAATTTAATGTCTGGAGGGATGAATACATGATGAGCTGTGTTTGAGCGGGAGTTTCGATGAAACTAGAAGTGACTACGAAATGACAAACATTAATCCACAGTGATCCTGAAGAAGACGCCTGGAATTGTAAATGATCAAATACGAGCGTTTCCGCTAACTTTGTGTGTCTTTGTAAATAGCTTTTAGTATATTATTATCATTATTATAATATGTACATATCAAATTATTAGAAGTTAGGTATATAACGCCCATAGGCGCAATTCAATTTTTTCATCTCGGTGGAGGGCTGAACAAATGTATGCCAAATATACCCATGTGGGACGAAACCCTCCCCGTACTCCCCTTTAGCTTACCTTTAATGGCTTCAACAATTTTTATATCTTACAAGATTTTTACGCCACATTTTATTGATACATTCTTATTATTACTAAGGCCTGTCCCGAGAGGTGTTGCAGGGGATATTATTCTACGTGCTACGTCCCCATGCAACCATCTTCAACAAAATAAATTACAATACCAAGTATGAAACGATAAGGAAATAAAAATCAATATGATAATAACCGCTAATGGATTATACAACGAATTAAGATAATATTATAATGTTATCAGTATCTGTTAAAAAAATAACATTATGCATTGCCACGTTGGTTATTTTATGGTATTTCAATTTTTTTATGATAAAATGAGCTTTTTTAAATTGTAATATTACAATACTCTTAATCTATACACATTTATGTATTGTAAAAATTAACATAAGACCACAGATAATATTTATTTAGTTTAGTAATAGGTCAATCAAATTAAATATTAAATTTATATAATCGTCTTAATTAATCGTATAGGTTTAATGACAAATAAGTAATAACATCATTAACCAGTTAATAGGTAACTAAAATATTATGATTAATTTACAGCAGAAGTGGTAGGAGTTAGTTTTTAATGATGAAAAAATGAAGTCTAACGTTAAAAGTTTAAGGTTTTAAAAATTATTATGTAGTAAAATAAATGATTTTATTTATGATAAATATCTTGGGGAGGGAGGTTTCCCTTATGATTATTCCGGATAAACGTTCAAAATTCGATAAACAAAAATAAGTTAGTCATCGACGCTATCCGTCATATTTTAAACGAAACCTCGAACTATAAACACTAATTTTATTGATTTAAGTAGTTTTAAATAAATTTAAATATTCGTATACATAAAATATTTAAATTACATATTTTATAACCGTCAAAAATAAGTAGGTGGTTTCAACGTAAATTAGGATCAAACATGCACATTACCCGCACATTAATGTCTACCACTAACACAACATCAGTTATACTACTATAGAATAACAATATTTAATTACTGATATTAAATCACACTTTACCTTGAAATAGTAAAAAAAAATATTAATTCGTATACCTGCATAAATATAAATTCACAAAACTATTTTTTTTTTCTTAAAGTCGTTTGTTAATAAAACGCCAAAAACACATTACTAAATTTTAAACATAAATAACTATTACAATACAATAAATTAAGTCTCTATAATTAAGTACGTGATTAAGATTTTGTTGGCAAATGGAATACATTAGAAATATATAATATTGATATTTAACTTTGGTTATTACTTCCATCGTTTTATAGGAAAAAAAAGTATAGCACTTATACTTAAGTGGCCATCAAGCTGAGACGCCGAGTGCCAGTGCAATGTAATAACAATATTATCTAACACCTGTGTACCCATTGTGACATATTGCTTGTCATAACATATTTTTACATACTCTTTTAAAGTAAGAATAAGGTTTTTTAATTTAAAAAAAGGACAATTTTTCTTTAAGAACACTGAAACTCAAAGATTCGCACACTTTAATATTTTATTATTTTTATCACAACGTGTAATATTTTTCGCATAACTTTGTTAGTAGGTATACATTGTGTAGCACGAAAATTGATCGATAACTCAACGAAAATAAAGTACATCGGACTGAATAATTGTTATAAGCTTATAATTATATATCGTTTTTCCGTATCGTAGTACGAGCTTTCTATTTAAACAAGACGCAATGACGTATTAATAAAACTTGCAGAAACGTAACAGTTCAATTGATTTAAAGTGTGCATGGCAGTGAATGCACGCCGTAGCGTGTCGGAGAAAAAAAAATTATATTATGAAATATTTATTCACATTGTAATTTTAGATAAAAATATATTTTAAACATTGTATAAACAGTACGTGAAAAAAATACATAATTTCAGTTATAAATTCTGAAAAATCAATAAAACCAAAGGTCACAACAAACACCAAGTCTACGGCAACGTCATTGCATCGAGTGAAATACAATTGGCGTTTTGAAATACTTAAGTCTAAAAAAACACGTATGCTGATTTTATACAGACGTAAACACATTTACGCGCTCTCCCCCCCCTCCCCCTACCGCCGCGTACAGGGTGGCCAGTGGTGGTGCTATCACTCACAGTCACCTACTCACTGACGGAAATCCCGTAAGACACTGCACCGCACTCTGTATAATAGGTAGACATCGATGATGGGTATTTTTTTTTAGTGTTGTTGACGTTCTGTTCGTTTTTCAAAACCCAATTTACCCGCTTCAGATAAGAGCTCATCGCGTATTATGAATGTAAGCGATAAACGCAGTTTAAATGTTTAATATAAAATGATATTGACAATATTATTTCATCGTGTAAGGAGCTTACGTTGGAGATACCATAGCGACGAAGAGAAATATTCCAGTGGATAAAAACAAAGCAAAAAAAAAAAAATAGAACATAATTGAATTTTTTTTTTACACACGGTCGACGCCGACCGTATAATAATATCATGTAATGCCAAAAAGTATGATTGTCGGACGAATCCGGATATTATCATTGTTTCAATATAGAGTATCGTGTTAAGATGTCCCCGGACTGATAAAACTAATAAAAAACATCCGCGGAACGATTTAAATTTAACACATCGGCTCATAGACCTATAAAGTCTTGAACTTGAACTGACGATACTTTAAGGGTACGCACACTCGGGTACACTGGATTATCTTAGTTAAACCAAAACCACAGAGGTAGTATACTGCAGTTTTAATATAATCCCTACGAGCTTTACAATACGGATGGACGACTTGGCGTGATGAATGCACATTGCAGTTGCCTGAAATTTCTGTTATCCAGTCCTCGAGTGAGGAATGATTAAACGTCGACATACCGAAAACTCGACGACGATTGATGTTACAATCCAATAATTATAGTGGCGACATTTAAAGAAGAATATACAGAAGGTGGCAAAAATTGCATCTAATATTTTGCAAATATTAACGTTTGTTCCTCCAATGGTTTTTGATCTTTACAATTTAGGTACCTAGGTTCCATGTATATTTTATTAAACGGGCGCGGTACTGCGAATGTTGTTGTTTGATTTTCCTCGCAAGTGGGCCGTATTGGTGACGTTATTAAATATTAATAAAACTAGAAATTGGTCAATAAAACATAATGAAAAACGTAATAACAAAAATTACTGTCAACAATACAAAAAAAAAAAAAAAACAGTTAATGAAATCTACCGTATTTTACGCGTCGAGTATTTATCGTCATTGAGTAGATGTATTAGTAGTTTGAATTCAATGACAAATCATCAAAATATATACCTACGATAAACGATATTGTGCGGAGACGGTCTGTTATAGCCTATATACATATGGATATTTCACGATGTAGTTATATTGTTAATAGTAATTTATTTTCCTATTAGTATTATGCGGAGAATGTTGAACTAATTTGTATTGAACGAGATTGCATATTGATAATATTGTTGTGTTATACTTGGAGTTGCAACACAACAATTGTAATCAGTCACATATTAAAGTTACTTAAAAATTACACAGCCGATTACAAGTTACAAGCGTACTTAACTTTGATACATGTAATTGATTACTGCCCAACCCAGGTCGTACACAGGAGAGGCGCCAAACATTCGAACACCCTACTAATATAATAATTGGCGAGCGCCCGTTCCCTCCATGCGCGTATTTTATTAGTCCACCGCCTCGGCGTAATACGTTTCGCCCCCCCCCCCCCCCTAAAGCCTTTTGGTTTGGCCTAGACGGCATAACGTATGTTACATATACCTATATATATAT